TCAAATGACCACAAAGCCCCTGATCGAGGGACTACTAGTCATCCGTTTATATTTTTTCTCGAGCAATCTTATTTATCCAGGTCAGCTCTTCTTCATTGTAGCTCATGGGTATATCGTCATCTTCCTTTTATTCTATTTTTTTAAAAAAAAATATAATAGTGAAAGTTTTAAGAATAAAAATTGTATTTTTCTTTTCATTTAAATAATAAAAAAAAAACAAGGAAAAAAGAATCTAAAAAGAAGTAATAAATTAAATACATTTCCACTTTTTTCCCTTAAAAACAGCCATGAAACCATGGGTGATGATTATCACGCGCTCCAATACGCGCGTGGTAACTAGTAAGCCTCAGTCATCATTCTCATGCAGTGCACTACGACGTCACGTGCGGTCTAGAGGTGCTTCTCTGTTTTCGCTCTCAGCTCCCATGTGATCCCACTCCCAAATAGAACCCACAAACTTCAAAATATTTACTACTCTGCCACTTTGTCGTTTTGCTAAGAGAAAGAAAGGGACACCCACGTCTGAAAATTGATATTGCCACACATTTCTTTTTTTTTTTTTTTTAATTTAATTAATTTTCTCTTAATCCATATCTCTATTATCTGGCCACGTGTAATTTTCATGTGATAAAAGAGTAATTTTCAAGATTCTTTTTGTAAAATAAATATTCGAAGTAAATTAGAGAAAATAAAATTATTTTTTTAAAAAATATTTTATTTATTAAAAAAAAAAAAAAAGAACACAACAAAACCTATCTTCTTCTTCTCCATTCAATCATACTGTTTCAAAACCAAAAAAAAATCAGAGCTCCTCCATGCCCATGGCCGCTCTTCACTGGTGAGAATCTCCATTTTCATGGATTCTGACCGCCATTTTCGTAACACGACGAGTTCCACTGCCACCGCCTCCGCCTCCAGCGAGCTCTTTATCTGCTTTACTTCTCGTTTCTCTTCTTCTTCTTCTTCCTCCATGAAGATCTCTTCCAAGTCCATTCTCAGCCCTGGGCGACCTCGTGAACCTGCTCAGATTTCCCTCTCCACTTCCCTTAGCCGCCGCCTTAAATCCAGCGGAAGTCTCAAGGGTGGTCAGGCCTCGCCTATGTTTCCGACTGGCGGGAAGAAGAGAGGTTGTGCGTTTGAGAATCCTGAGCCGTCGTCGCCCAAGGTTACTTGCATTGGACAGGTTAGGGTTAAGACGAAGAAGCAGGGGAAGAAGATGAGGGCTAGATCGCTGAAGCGGAGGAGTAATTCGGAGGCTAGTTTTCGGAAATCGGAGAGTGTTCAAGTTCAATCACAGATGAATGGTAATGACTTCGTGAATCAGTCGTCGCATCTTAATCATCATCTTCTTCGTCAGAACAGTAATGGCGGAAACGGTTTCCAGCAGGAGTGCCTATCGCATCGGAACCAGCGGTGGGTGCATTTGCCATTCACGATTTGCGAGGCGCTTAGGGCTTTTGGTGCTGAACTCAACTGCTTCTTGCCGTGCCATTCGTCGTGTTCGAGCAATAGGGAGAATAATAAGGAATCGAAGACGACGGAGAGGTCGTCGGAGAGCGAGAGTTCTTGTGGGACGGTGTTTGCGCGGTGGTTGGTAGCGGTGCAGGATAACGACGGAAGAGGACGGGAGATCGAACTAGTGGTCGGAGACGAAGAATCTCGAACGGAGAAGGAAAACGGAAGCCAGAGACGCCATGTTTTCGAGGGATTAGATTTCAAAGAGGAGAAAGAAGTTGTGCAGGAAGAGGAATCGAGGATCAGCATTTGCATTCCGCCGAAGAATGCTTTGTTGCTCATGAGGTGCAGATCTGATCCGGTGAAAATGGCGGAACTGGCGAAACGATTCTGTGAATCTCCTGTGCCAAAACTGGAAGAAGAAGACGAGGAAGAAAACGATGAAGAGAACAGTAATCAAAACGAAGCCCAAAAAGGTACGCCACTGCCTGTACTCATGCCTTTGACTGTAACTTTAATCAAGGAAGAAGAAGAAGAAGAAACAAAAGTAGAGCTAAATTCGAAGCTTAAAAACGAGGAAGAAATGATTGAAGAATCTGTATCTGATGCCGAAGAAGAAGAAGAAGAAGCTAATGTGGTTTTACAGGAGGAGGAAGAAGAAGAAGAAGATAATGGCGAAGAATCCATAGAAATGGCCACAGAAAACGAAATCGATGTGCAGAAATTAGACATTACTGTTATTAATCATCAGGATCAAGAAGAAGCAGAGGAAGACAAAGAACAAGAACATGAACAAGAACACAGAATCGATCAAGATAATCAACAACAGAAGTTAGTAGAAGAAACAATGGCATTTTCGATTCCGATTTCAACCCAATGCGAACCTGAAATGGTTCAAGATGCTGAGAAGCTGGAATCGGCGGAAGGAGACGAATTCAAGCCATTCCATGGAAACGAACAAGACTTCGAAACAGAAGAACAGATGAAAGAACTTGAAGAAGAAGAAAAAAGTGAAAATGGCGAAAATCCGACGTCGCCACCATTATCAGTGGAAACTGAAGTTGATGGGAATTGGGAAGAAGAAGAAGAAAACAGAGGTAGGTCAACCGAAGAAGAACTAAAAGGGACGGCGGCGACAGCGATGGATGAAGGAATCGGACCCCACATCCAAAACGACGACGAGATGGGTCTAGAGGAGGAGGAGGACCAGTCAAAGGAGCGAGAAACTCCGCCGCCGGAGCCGGAGAGAGAAACGCAAACACAAACGAAACCAGAAGCCTCCGTCCTTCCAGACTGCTTGCTGTTAATGATGTACGAGCCAAAGTTATCAATGGAGGTATCAAAGGAGACATGGGTGTGCAGCACAGACTTCATAAGATGCGTTCCAACGAGGGAGAAGAAGGCGGCTCCGCCGCCGCCACCAAAGAAGCGAGAGATAAAGACGGCGGAGAAAAACACGCAGACGCAGGTGGCGATACAGCCGGGAAGGTGGTCGTGTTCATTTCCAGCAGCGGCAGCGGCGGCAGCGATGATAGAACAGAAGCTAGAGAGGGCAAAGGGAGGAGGGTACGAGCCGTTCGTTCTGACAAGGTGCAAGTCGGAGCCGATGAGGTCGTCAGCTAAGCTAGCGCCAGACACTGGCTTTTGCAAAGACCGCAATCTTGAGCCGCATCGCCCGGCTACGTTCGGCATCGGCGCGGCTGGAATTGGATTTTGACCATTTCACCCCTCACAAGGTTTAAAAAAAAAAAAAAAAAAAAAAGATTAGAACTGTGTAAAAATAGTGTGGAGGTAGTAATTTGTATTTTCCTAGAAAAAAGTATTTGTAATTTTAGGTTTTGATCTCTCTATTTCTTGGCTTTTCCCCCTCAAATTTATTATAATGGAAAATTGCTTTAAAGAATTATATGATCATTATTTTAGTTTTTTTCCTTATTTTGTGGAATTAAAATTTGTTAATGAAAAGTTGATTTTATTATTTATTAATATAATTAAACCCGACTCAATTTGAGCATGTCTCATAATTACTCCCAAAACGAGATCAATAAGTATGAGCCACTTAACAATAAAATGTTCATTGAATCATAGCTGATTAATTAACAATAATACGATTCATTTGAACATAATTCAACTGATTATTAAGATGAATTAATAATAATACGATCAATTTAAACATAACTCAACTAATTAAAACACTAGAAAGAAACTTTTGTTCAAACAAAAAGTAATGTTAATGAGTAAAGAGAAATGAGAAGCATTGGAAAAGATTCCCAAATTTCTCAAACTAAACCTTTTCTTTTCTTGTTGGTTTTCTTTTGTCTTTTTGTTGCTATCTTTATCACAAAAACAATATACAGATGTCATCAATATGGAAACAAAAGTTTTACATTTTTAAAAATAAAAAATAAAACCAATTAATTCTACTTTTATTAATTTTATTTAATTTCATAATCATTTATTCTCGACCCATCTAATTGGGTTGAGTTAGATTCCTTGTTTAACAAGGGTTGTTTGAGTTGAAAAGGCTTACATTGTCGGAGTCTAAAAAAAAAATATAAAAAAAATATTCCAAACTGACACGACTCAACTGAACCCATAAAACCCCTAATTTTGAGTATCAAAACCAAAATACTAGATACACACAAACACAAACATAATTTGAGGGGTTCTCGAGTAACCCAGATCCTACCTAAATTCACCATTGTCTTAAACGTGATTTTAATCACAACTTTATCTGGTTTTAATCATAGGTATAAAAAAAAAAGCTGTTGGTCTTTCGTAATCACTAACAAAGTTAATTCAAAGATGTCATTTTTCACCAGATTTGCAAAACTTGTGAAAAACAATGGCTGTTGTGTTCTCAAGGAAAAGTGTCCACAAAGAAAGCATAAACACCCAAACAAATATATCTCGGTGCCTTGGAATTTGATTGCTCTCACTTTTTGTTTTCCTTTACTTTTTCATGTTTCCTACTGAAAAAGCTCAAACAAAAGAAGAGAAAGCCCCATGAATTTCAAGAAAAAGATGCTAATGAGAGGTGCCATCAATGGAATTTGAGTGTCAGGTTTGACTAAGTATTGATGGTCAAATTGGTTCTTTCCAAAGTTCAAAACTAAAACTTTTAAAATATGGGTCACTTTTTGGTGTTTGGTGCAACTCCGATCTTAAGAGTTGTCTCGGCTTTCGATAAAGGAGTGATGCATAAATGAACCGAGACCATTTTCAAATGAAAGCAATTCCAGAGATACGATGGTTAAGAAATGCTTAAAAGAACATAAAGTTACTACCTATACCAACAAAGTCCACATTTTTTTAAGCAACCTAGAAATTTTGTTAAGAAGAATGTGAGTGAATGCTGAATTAACTCGTGTTGACCTATGGAGATAGTCCTCTCTTAAAAATACTTTAACTAAAGTAGATAACGTGGCCATATAGCAGGGGGATGCAAAGGAAAGTCGGGAGGTCATCAGGTGCTAAATCTAGTTTCCAGGTTCATGTTCGAATCCTAAACAGGAGGCATTTCGAGCTATATAAATCTAGACTTATAAAATACATTGTTCATCCATAGTTTTGTGTCGGCAGAGCATTAATATATTGTGCAGATTGCTGCCTAATCATAGACTATATTTTCTCTGTGTATATACCCATATAATAATAATCACAGATGACAGAGAGCTACCCAAAATGAAGAAGATGATACTAGAAATGCACTATCAATCAAAGCAGATAGCATTCACAAATGGCAACCAAAACAGCCAAAATCTTACCCATGCGGATTCTCTTCCATCACTGCAAGTTACTTCAACTTTGATCATCTTTGCTGCTGCTTGATTCGGTGCCATCGAGGGTCGTTTCAACAGTTGAGTTCGGTGAGCTAACTTGCTTATCACCTTTAGTTGCAAGTTCTTTATCTTCTGAACCTTCTTCCATGACAGAGTTTAATGCCAACTGACCAGAGTAGAGGAATAAACCAACAGCATTGATTCCGAAAACAAATGTCGCAAGGTAGCATATTCCGTTCACGATAGTTCTGCAAATATGAGATAAGAATCGGTCGCTAGTGTTTCATCTAACTGCAAGATATGTTAGAACAAGGCGAGGAAGTTACCTTATTGTTATCGTCAGTTGTCGAACCTAAAAGAACAGAAAACCAGCAGAACATCAATCCACAAAGGTTTCAAATTTTCTTGTTTTTTAATACAAGTTACAAGATATTAATCCAACAGAGCTCTTAGTGAAAAACAAGCAACACCTGTTGAACTATTTCTAGCTCAAATCATATTACCATTAGCTGTCCAGATGAGAAAGACAATGAAATAATCAAAACATATATAAGGATGAAGTAACCACGAGAGCGTACCGAGAAGTTATCGGACACTGTCTGTCGGTTCAGAGCAGCTTCAATGGTAGTGGTGAACTTGTATAAGATCAATGCAATAACACCGGCTGCTATAGCTCCCAAGAATGCTTGTACAGGTGAAGGTTTAGACTTCGATTGAATTGGACCTGTACTAATTGCTTTCAGGCTCTCCATTGCTTCCTCCTTTAGAGACTTCTTAACTCCAGCAGACCTGAATTTCTAAAATGGGCACATAAAGTCATAGAACTTTCAATTGTTATATGGTAACAAAAGAAATCAATGCAAAGAACCTCTTCGGGGGCCAGCGTCCTCGCTAGCACACCGCTCAGTGCCTAGCTCTAATACCATTTGTAACAGCTCAAACTCACCACTAGCATATATTGTTCGCTTTGGCCCATTATGTGTTTCCGTCAGTCTCACGGTTTGGAAACACGTTTGCTAGGGAGAGGTTTCCACGCCCTTATAAAAAAATGTTTCGTTTCCCTCTCCAACTCAAATGGGATCTCACAACTACCATAATCAATTGTCCCCCATCCAATATTTCAGCTTCTTCGTAACTGATATGACTTCCTTGAGGGCCAAAAAAGAGGCCGGAAGACAATGCAGAATGATCAAACAGCTCCTATATCTAGGTAGCCATGGCCAGCCACCACTTCAAATGAATTTTGCTTGTTCATCTAACTACTCTACTCGGCACGAGACTAAGAATACATAAGACCCCAATTACATCATAAAAAATTTGATGCCGAGTTGAAGCCTATAGTGAACAACTTAGAAACCGTAGGCAGTTTCTATGAAGACTTTCTTCAAACACATGGCGTGCAAAAAAATAAGGCAAAGGAATAAGGAAGCAGCAGAACCCCAATTCATTCCTAGACTAAAACAATCACAAAACGTGTATTCCAAAGAGTCAAAACTTAAAAAAGAAATGCAGTAAAGGGTACCAGCTCTTTGACCCGCTTAGCACGGCGGCGAAGGGAGCGAAAGAGGAAGACAGAGATAGCCCCAGTAAGGAGAACACTGGTAGCGACTTGGATAGAAGAAGGGTCATCAGTGGTAGCAAAAATGGTGGATGGGAGTTCAATTGGGCCATCGTCATCGGGAAAAGAGGCGGCGGCGTCGGAGAGTTCAGAGAATTGGGGGAAGCAGAAGCATTGGTGAGTTCGGAGGGGAGGAACAGAGGGGGGGGAGGTAATGGGTCGGTGGAGAGAGGAGAAGGGCGGAGGAGAGAGAAGGAAATTGTGGGTTAGAGAGAGAGAGAGGGGGAAATTGGAGGAGGAGAGAAGGTTGAGGGTGTGCAACATTTGAGGAGGGTTAATGGATATGGCGCCTGGAATTTGATGGGTTTGGGAGCCTGCAACTATGGAGAGATTGGATTCCCAAAGATTTCATCATTTACCCCCAACCCATCCATCCACTACCATGCACTTCATTTTCGGATTTTCTTTTTTCGCTAAACTAATAAAAAAAAATTAAAAATTTATATCTCGCCTAAAAAATATTCATAAAAATTTTAAATAAAAAATCTATTTTTTAAATTTATTTAAAAATTTTATGAGTATTTTTTAAACAATAGTACTGATTGATACATACTTCGTACTTAGTGTAAATATTTTTTAATTTTTTTAAATATTTTTTTTATTAATTTAGTCCTATTTTTTTAATTGAACTCTTTTTTTTTAAATCAATTTAAAAATTAGTTACAAATTTCTTTTATATATATATATATATATATATATATATATATAATCTCGTAAAGAGAGTAATAATAAATAAGAATCATTTAATTTTCTAAATCACGTCTAACTAGAAAAATAAAAAAAAACTCTAAAACTTAGACCGCTAACTCGACCCTCGGATTTGAGCCAAATGGGTGCGTTCTAGGTCCAACCATTTTGCAAAACTAAACTCTTTCTTTTAAAAAAATCAATTTAAAAATTAGATACAAATTTCTCATATATATATATATGTATATGTGTGTATATGTGTATGTGTATATATGTATATATGTGTGTATATATATATATAGATATAGATATGTATATATATATATATATATATAATCTCGTAAATAGAGTAGTAATAAATAAATAAGAAATTCATTTAATTTTCTTAACCAATCCTACTAGAGAAATAAAGAATGAAAATAAAAAGGGCTAAAAAAAACTCTAAAACTTAGGTAGCTATGAACTCGAAACTATACAAATCCAGACATCTCGACACTCTTATCCGAGCCCAATGGGTGCGGGTGTGGGTGCGATCTAGGTCCAACCATTTTGCAAATCATTAACAAAATTGTGAATATAAGCATCCATGAAGCCAGGGTTAGTCAAAATGTGGTTCCATTTTTTATGGTTTTTCTTGACCATTTCACCAACGCCACCTGCTTCCACAAGCATCACTGACTCAATGGCTTCCCTCACACTTTGGCTTGTGAACTTCCCATCTTCTTCCCTCTTCTTCACTTCCACGCCCACTTGGAGCTCTTGAGCCAGCAGCCTTGCGTTCAATATTTGGTCGCCAAGGCTCGGAATCAGCACAATTTGAGGCTCACTCATCAATGACTCCCACATCGAACCGAACCCACAATGGCTCACAAAGCAACCAACCGATGGGTGCTTTAGAATCAATGGCTGCTGAACCCAACCGCCATAAACGGCTCCTCTTTCTCTCACCCTTTCTTCGAACCCTTCTGGTAGTGCTTCTTCAATGGAGCTTGATCCTGTTGGTGGCTTTAGAGCTACCAAAAATGGCAACCTAGTTTGTTCTATTCCCAACACGAGTTCTTGGAGTTGGTCCTTTTCTAAGGTTAATTGGCTTCCAAATGCACAGAAAATTACTGTTTTTGGTTCGAATTGGTCGAGCCATTTCTCCCATTTTTCGTCCAAACACGAGGTTGTTGTCGTCGTCGTTGTCTTGTTTGGTATTGCCATGAGTGGCCCGGTTAGTAATAGCTTCTTTTGGAATTGCTTTGCTAAGTAGCTGCAGAAATTGCCTTCGATTTCTTCACATGTTCGTATTGCTATTGCGTCGCTGTTTCTGTATGACGTCATTAGTCTCTCGTGGAACGTTATACCTCCTGGAAATATAAATAGATGGTTTTTAAATTTTGTGATAATTTAATTTCACGCGATATAACATTCAATTTAAGCATAACTCAACTTTCAATTTTGTACTTAAATTTTTATTTAATATTATATCGACTAGTTGTTAAAATTTAAGAGAAGTACTATCACACATTAGTCTGAAAGTAGATGAATATAAATGCTCTGATAAATTATTGGCTCAGGTTGTATCATAATAAATGCTCTGATAAATTATTGGCTCATTATTGGATCGTAATAAATGCTTTGATAAATTATTGGCTCATGTTGGATCGTAATTTCTAGATCCAATATCCATCACGGCTCACACGGTGCTTCCTTATCAGGTGGAACTCTCTAGTATCGATGCATTTTTTCACCGCACAGGTTCAAGAGATCTCTTAGTGTTGATCACCTCGAGGCAAGAGAGGTCGATCTAGCTTTTTTTTTTTTTTTTTTTTTTTTTTTTTTTTTTTTTTTTTTTTTTTTT